ATATATATATGGTAAATGTACAAAAGAAGGGGAAGTCATGAATTTGAGAGCAAGGTAGTTGCAAGAAAGGAGTTGTCAGAAAGAAGGGTAGAAATAATATAAAGACAGGACTCATGTATAACATTCACAAAGAAATAAAAATATAATTTACTCTTATTTGACAGAAAAGAACCAGATATTTTAAAAAAAGAAGTGTAGCACATGTTGTTAGGCTACCTCGGTCTCCCTCCTCCACTCTAGTTGCCACAGTCTGATGGCTGTTTTCCAGGGATAGCACATTTCCTTCATCCAGTTAAAATTCCTTTGGAACTCACCAGATTCTCGTCACAATTGCTTTCAGGGAAAGTTTAGCCAACATATGTGCTTCTGTTATCCCTTCCTGCTTTCATTCCAGTTACTCAAGCCATATCCAAGTCTCCAACATTTAGAAACATTTTATATCGTGTGTACCATCTGATGTGTCATCTTGACCCAAGATCATTTGCACTTTATTTAAATTTCAGGCCAACCTCTGTTTTTACATCTGTATGTAGATATAACTTTATAATTCCCTGGAACATTAATGGCTCATGCCATCCCAAGCCCTCAAGTTTATCCAGGTCACACAGTCTGAGGAAGTCTAGAATCTTTCAGATTAGACACACAACCAACAAAGGAAGTCTATATGCTCATAACTCATCATAAAAACAAAGGTAAAGTGTAAGACCAAAACTATCTATGTCTTCTAAAATCACCTGGTCATTTACAAATGTCTTCTACCAAGAATTACGTAGATGAATGCCAGGAAAAAGAAATTTTAAAAAAATATAACATTTGTGAAGGATTCAAAGCATTTAAATACAAAATAAATGAATAGACTAATGAACTCAGCAAAGAAACAGTAACTACCTCAGCAATCCCCCCAAAAGCATTAACATATGCCTGAATAAGATGACAAAGACAGCCTGGTGACTTGAAAGTTGATTTCATTAAATAGATAGAAATATTGCAGTGAAGTGAATATGATATGAAGGTAGAATTAAAAAACTCAGTAACTCACTGGAAACCTCAGAGTTGGGCATAAAATCCTGCCAGTCACCAAGAAGCTTTTAGCAATTAGCAATTACTGGGAGAATGTGACAGTTATTTCTAAAAGTGCAGCCATAGATAAGTTTACAACACTCCAGTGGTAGAAAAATATTCAAGATTATATTGAATACACAAATTATGTCTCAAAGTGAAGAAACCAAAGGACAGAAAATTAGATGGGTAGAGAAGAAAAAAATTGAATGAGCAAGGGTGATTATGATCACATCACATTATATGAAACAAGAAATCAATAAAACTTTAAAGAGTATTTGAGAATATGACTCTGGTATTTATTATCTATCTTTATCCATGTACTTCTCTATGTATGTATGTATGTATCTATCTATCCTGAACTTATCTGTCTATATTTTGCCATCATAGTAGCTTTATTTTAAGACTATCCTGTGATGTGTACATAGGCAGAGCCCTAGTGAAAGACCAAAGAAAGTATTTCATCCAAATCTATCCTGCAGAATCAATTAGTTTGGTAGAGGCTGTGGCTTACAAAAGTATGGGTGAGAAGTTGCCTACAGTAACATGGGTGTCTCTAGACAGATTCACTTTTTTTGTTGGTTTTTTTTTTTTTTTTTTTTTTTGAGACAGGGTTTCTCTGTGGCTTTGGAGCCTGTCCTGGAACTAGCTCTTTAGACCAGGCTGGTCTCGAACTCACAGAGATCCACCTGCTTCTGCCTCCAGAGTGCTGGGATTAAAGGCGCAGATTCATTTTTGAAAAGCCCACCTATCTTGGGTGACCACTCAGGAAGAAATCTGAATACCTATAACTCAATAAATAACTTACAAGAAGCTTGGTTTGGGAGTCTCTTCTTTCTAGTATGCCATTTTTCCTATTAGAGTTTTAAAGTTCTGAGTTTGTTAGTCTTGTATCTTTATAAGATCTGGAGGCAGGTAAGTTTCATTGACAGCATAAATCTTTTAAGATTTTGACACATATTAGTGTTTAATTTTGAGTTATATTTTAAGTTCTATAGTATCCTTCCACTCTCAAGGACAAGTGCTTCAATTCAGAGGAAATAGTTATAGGACAGCAACTCATATTTGAAATGTGGTGTAATTTGGAGTACTGCTGGATTAGAATCTTGATTTTTAAAATTGAGTTGCTTTATTCTAATAATGAAATATATAAAATGCATAGGAAAAATAAAAAGAATGAATAGAAAAGACTTCATTCATGAAATATCTACTCACCCATGAAATATCTATTAAGAGAAATTAAAGTAAAAATAATTATAATAAAATACTTACAAGCAATATGTTTTGAAGTTTTATATCATTTTCGTGTACTTTACACTTAGTAGACTAATTCTAGTGCAGACAATACTTTCACAGCAATTTTCTTGAATGCATTCTTGACCTCTTTGTTCCTCAGGCTGTAAACAAGAGGGTTTAGCATGGGGATGATCATTGTGTAGAACACAGATGCTACTTTGTCAGTGTCCATGGAGTGACTAGAGCTGGGCTGTAAGTACATGAAGATGATGGTACCATAGAAGATGGAAACAGTGGTGAGATGGGATGCGCAGGTAGAAATGGCCTTCTTCCGGCCCTCAACTGAACGCATTCTCACAATTGCAATAAAAATAAGTAGGTAAGAGTTCAAGACAACCAATATAGTTAAAGTAACATTGAATGCTGCCAACGTCATCAATACAATTTCATTGTTAGAAATATCAGAACAAGAAATAGCCAGCAATGGGGGAATGTCACAGAAAAAGTGGTTAATTACATTGGAATGACAGAAGGAGAGGTGGAAAGTGAGGGCAACATGGATGGAAGATTGCAAGAGTCCATTGATATAAGAGCCAACAATAAGCAGGGAACATTTTGTAGTTGTCATGGTGGTAGAGTAATGCAAGGGTTTACATACTGCTGCATGGCGGTCAAAAGCCATTGAAGCAATAAGGAAACCTTCAATAATTGCAAAGGCTATTAAGAAGAACATTTGGGCTGCACATGCATTGTAGGATATGACCTTGTGTTCTGTGAGAAACCCTTCTATTACCCTGGGAGTGATAGCTGAGGCATAAACACAGTCTACCAGTGAGAGGTTACTAAGAAATATGTACATGGGATTGTGGAGTCGGGAGTCCAGGAAAATCAACAGAATCATCCCAAGGTTCCCAAGTAGTGTGATCAAATAAATAAGGGTAAAGATGATAAATAAAAGGAATTGCAACTCTGGGGCATCTGTTAACCCCACAAAGATGAATTCAGTCACCTCTGAAATATTCTGCATCTGTGTTATCTGGAAATTTTAACAGGTTCCTAGAACGAAAGGAAGAAATAATTATTCTATATTGACCATACCATGAAATTTGCCATTGACCAATTACTCTAACTAAAATGTTAGCGTTATTTAATGTGAAGGAGTCTAAACAGGAAAGGGGGTAGAAATGCTCTGTTTAAGTCATTTATCTGGGAGTAGGACAAATGGAGACTGCCTCTTCTGCACTGTTAATTGGGTTTCTGATTATGAATATATGGCTTCTTACAGTTTTCTGTCATACAATAATAATTACTTTAGTAACCCACAAATAACCGATTTGGTATTTTCCACATCTAACAAAAACACTTTTCTAAAATATAGAAAGTTAGTTGGCAACAAGAGCAATGTAAGAATATACATTGTTACATGGTAGTAGCAAAACTTATCTGATGTATTTCCTGGCAATGATGCTTGCACCAAGTTCAGCTTACTAGCTGTATCTATGCAGTGTTTTTAGGTGCTGCTTCATGGATACTATGTTTTATCTTCAATTTGTCAGGGTCTTCCCTTGAATTCTCTTTGAACCACAGACCAGATGATAACTGCTTACTGTATGAGGCATACTATTCGTGAAGTTTAGATATGCAGCAATATACAGAAATTTAAGAGCATAGTTTCCCCCAAAATAGAAATAATTTTAATTACTTTCTTTTAATTTAATGCATTTAATTTTTCACAGAGACTGATATATTTTTAAATTTATTTATTTATTTATTTATTAAAGATTTCTGCCTCCTCCCTGCCACAGCCTCCCATTTCCCTCCCCCTCCCCCAATCAAGTCTCCCTCCCTTGTCAGCCCAAAGAGCAATTTATTATCATCACACAAGTCTGTTTTGTTTGTGTTTGATGGAGAATAGATTAAAAAGGAATAAAGAGTTACATTTGTTCTGTTTACAGAATCTGTGTCCTCAAACAAAAGTATTTCATGTTCTACATTTTATGATTTGGATCAAGTAATACCTGACCATGCAGCTATTATTATACATGAGTGTACTTCAACCTGAGAGCCACTTTTAACTTTGGAATCTCGGGGATACTCATTCTTCTACATTAATAACAACTTATATTCCTGGCAATAAAGGAGGTAATAATCTTATTCTTTTAAATTGCCATGGTGAAATTAATTCTTCTTACAAGGTTATATCTGCACTTATATTACAAAGAATGTAGATGTTCTTGCAAATTATAAAAGATACTAAAATTTTTAAATCATGTATTTCATACACATTATTTTCCATCCCCTTTCTCATATTTTTGTAGTTTTCTCAGAATGTTCATCTGAAAGTATTATTTTCTAACGCTTGATGTCCTCAAGAAAAGGGACCTAGTAATTGACATGTCAAATAGATTTTGAAAGTCCTACAGCTTTCTGAAATTAAAAAGAAGCTATAATCTGTGGAGTTCCTTTCCCATACATTATAAATATCAGAAAATTAGAACATGGTCTTCCTTTGGAGTGAAACTATCATCACAGGATCTAAAAGTCCTTAATGGCAGGAAGTCTGGTTTCTCTAGAACAGTGTAATAGTAAGAAGAGTTGTGATCCACCAGTGAAAAGACTGTTAGTAATATTTTGTCTATGACTCATCCTCTTCCCATTCTATACATTAAGTTGACTTTTTGTTTGCACTTATGAAATAAAAATGACTGGGTAATGTATCACCATTTAAAGATCTGAATGTGCACACATACACACACATGTATA